ACACTTGGAAGCTGAACAACATGTTATTAAATATTGACTGGGTTACCAATGAGATCAAAGAAGAAATTAAAAATATCCTGGAAACTAATGACAATGAAAACACAATGATCCAAAACCTATGGGACACAATGAAAGCAGTCCTGAGAGGGAAGTTTATAGCCCTACAGGCCTACCTCAAAAAAACAAACAAACAAACAAAAAAAACAAGAAAAAATGGTAGGAAATCATCTAACTCTACAACTCAAATAATTAGAAAGAGAGCAGCAAGAAAAGACCAGAGTGAGCAGAAGGAGGGAGATAATAAAGATCAGAGCAGAAATAAATGGCATAGAGACCAAAAAAAAAAAATACAAAAGATCAATGAAACCAAGAGCTGGTTCTTTGAAAGGATAAACAAAATTGATGAAAATATAGCCAGGCTCACCAAGAAGCAAAGAGAGAGGACCTAAGTAAACAAATCAGAAATGAAAGAGGCAAAATAACAACAGACCCCATAGAAATACAAATGGTTATTAAAAAATACTATGAACAACTCTACTCCAACAAGCTAGACAACCTGAAGGAAATGGACATATTCCTAGAAAAATACAAGCTTCCAAAACTCAATCAGGAAGAATCTAAAAATCTCAATAGGCCACTAACTATAGAAGTAATTAAAGCAGTAATCAAAAAGCTTCCAGCAAACAAAAGTCCAGGGCCAGACGGCTTCACATGGGAGTTTTACCAAACATTCAAGGAAGAACTAAAACCTATCCTCCTCAGACTATTCCAAAAAATTCAAGAGGAAGGAACACTTCCAAGCTCATTCTATGAAGCCAGCATAACCGTAATACCAAAACCAGAAAAAGACAACACAATGAAAGAGAATTACAGGCCAATATCCCTCATGAACATAGATGCCAAAATCCTCAACAAAATCCTAGCAAATCAGATCCAGCAGTACATCAGAAAGATCATACACCATGACCAAGTACGATTTATCCTAGGGATGCAAGGATGGTACAACATCCGCAAATCAATAAACGTGATACATCACATAAAAAACTGAGAGATAAAAATGACATAGTCTTATCAATTGATGCAGAAAAAGCATTAAAAAAAAAAACACCCTTTCTAGATTAAAACTCTCCACAAGGTGGGAATAAAAGGATCATACCTCAACATAATAAAAGCCATATATGACAAACACACAGCCAACATCATTCTCAATGGGCAAAAACTAAAACCATTTCCCCTAAGAACAGGAACAAGACAGGGATGCCCACTCTCACCACTCCTGTGCGACATAGTACTGGAAGTACTAGCCATTGTGATCAGACAAGAAGAAGAAATAAAAGGCATCCAAATTGTAAAAGAAGAAGCAAAACTGTCCTTATTTGCAGATGACATGATACTGTACATGGAAAATCCTAAAGACTCCATCAAAAAATTATTATACTTAATAAATGAATTTGGCACTGTAGCAGAAGACAAAATTACAACAAGAAATCTATGGCATTTCTATACACCAATAGTGAACTTACAGAAAGAGACACTAAAAAAGCAATCCCATTTACCACTGCACCCAAAAAAATGAAGATAGCTAGGAATAAAGTTAACTGAGGAGGTAAAAGACCTATATGCGAAAAACTACAAGAAACTGAAAAAAGAGAGAGAGGAAGACATAAACAGATGGAAGAGCATACCATGTTCATGGATTGGTAGAATCAACATCATCAAAATGTACATACTACTCAAAGCAATCTATTGATTCAATGCACTCCCCATTAAAATACCAAGGACATATTTCACAGACCTAGAACAAACTTTCCAAAAATTCATCTGGAATAAAAAAAAGACCCCAAATAGCTGCAGCAATCCTGAGAAAGAAGAACAAAGGAGGTGGGATCTCAATACCAGGTATCAAGTTGTATTACAAAGCCACTGTTCTCAAAACTGCCTGGTACTGGCGCAAGAACAGACATATAGATCAATGGAATAGAATAGAGAACCCAGAAATTGACCCAAATCACTATTCTCAATTAATATTTGACAAAGGAGGCATGAACATACAATGGAGTCAAGACAATCTCTTCAACAAATGGTGTTGGGAAAATTAGACAGATTCCTTCCAAAAAATGAAATTATACTACCAACTTACACCATACACAAAAATAAACTCAAAATAGATAAAGGACTTAAACATAAGATGGGAAACCATAAAAATACTAGAGGAATCCACAGGCAGCAAAATCTCAGACATATGCTGAAGCAATTTCTTCACTGATACAGCTCCTAGGACAATGGAAACTAAAGAGAAAATAAACAAATGGGACTACATCAAAATAAAAAGCTTGTACACAGCAAAAGAAACCATCAACAAAACAACAAGAAAACTCAATGCATGGGAGAACATATTTGCCAATGTCATCACTGATAGGGTTTAATCTCCCACATTTACAGGGAACTCATACAACTTAAAAAAAAGGAACATAAACAACCCAATCAAAAAATGGGCAACGGACCTAAATAGATACTTTTCGAAAGAAGACAGAAGGAAGACGAAGAGACATATAAAAACATGCTCAAAGTCACTAATCATCCGAGAGATGTAAACCAAAACAACAATGCAGTACCATCTCACCCCTGTCAGAATGGCTATCATCAACAAATGAACAAATGACAAGTGCTGGAGAGGATGCAGAAAAAAAGGAACCCTCGTGCAATGCTGGTGGGAATGCAGACTATTACAGCCACTGTAGAGAATAGTATGGAGTTTCCTCAAAAAGTTAAAAATGGAACTCCCATTTGACCCAGTGATCCCACTTCTAGGAATATATCCCAAGAAACCAGAAACACCAACCAGAAAGGACATATGCACCCCTATGTTCACAGCAGCACAATTCACCATGGCTAAGATTTGGAAACAGCCTAAGTGCCCATCAGCAGATGAGTGTAATAAAAAAACTGTTGTACATCTACACAATGGAATACTATGCTGTGGTAAAAAAGAAAGAATTCTTACCATTTGTAACAGCATTGATGGAACTGGAGAGCATTATGCTAAGTGAAATAAGCCAGTCAGAGAAAGATAAATATCACATGTTCTCACTCACTTATGGAATATAGTGAACAACATAAACTGATGAACAAAAACAGATCCAGAGACAGAGAAGCATCGAACAGACCATCAAACCTCAGAGGGAAGGTAGGGGAGGGAGGGGGTAAGTGGGAGAGATCTGCCAAAGGACTTGTATGCAAGCAAATGGGGGTGTAGGGGGGGCAATGAGGGAATACGGATATATAATACCTCAATCAATAAAGAAACTTTAAAAAAACACACAAGACAGACAAGGGGATCTATTGATTAAAGCAACAACAAAATATCAACCAATTGCAATGTATAGACCTTTTTTGGATCCCTAATCATATAACTAAACTCTTAAGATGCAAAAACATCCTAAAAAAAGAGAAAACGTAAATACTCTATTTTATCATATTAAGTAATTATGTTTAACTTAAAAAAAAAAGTTCCATGAAGAAAAAGTGCTTTTACATTTAGGTAGAGAAGGGATAAATTAAGTGAGGGGGTGGGAAATAGAAGTTACTAAGAGCCAGGATAGGTTTTCTGCTTTTGAGGCACAGAAACCTGTTCACTTAACGCTTGGGTTGGAGGGAATTGTGCCTTTAAATACATTTCAGATCTGAAAGTAAATGTTTATAAAACAGAATTCACAATCAAGGGAAAGGGGTGGAGGAGGAGGAAGTTCAATTTTTGTTGTATTAAGTTAAACAAATGAGTAAAAAATCAACATCCATGCTTGAGAGCACATATATCATTTTTCATAAAGATGCTAAGCCTGAAAATGAAAGCCATAGAACCTTATCAAATATTACAATATTTGCCCTAGTGTTTTGTATTCCCAATATCATTTTAAGGATTCAAAAGTGAGTCTGCCCAAGAACTTGGCAGCACCTATACACACACACACGCATACACACCCACACACACACAATAATTCACTCTTGATTGAACCAATCAACAGCACCCTAATCAACTTTTCACTTACCCTGACTGGATCACCTTCATATCCTTCAAAGTCTAGCTTTATTTATATTATGCCTATCACAAGGCAATAATTTAGCTCTAAGTTTTAACACCACCTCTTCACCCTTTCCTTCAATTACTTCCTCTTAAATGCCATTACTTTCTCATTTCTCCTGAAGGGACATTTAAAGACTACATCAACAGCCCAATTATAAAACCAGAGGCTGCAGCCTGAGTCTGAATACAAATTCCCAATCCTATCTCCCTCTCAACGCTGTTCCTACCAAGGATCAACATCAGCAGACCAGGAAGGGGAAAAAAAAATACTGAGGCAAGAAGGTAGTTCCCTTCCTTCCACTTCCTCCATGCCTGCTCCCCTGCTCCCCTAAGCCCAGGGCCAAAGGAGGGCCTCATTCTAACCCCATCCACCAACCCGCCTCCGACACAGCTTAGAAAACAGTCATCGCCTTTGTTAAAATGTCCATGACCACAATGGACCAGAAGACGGGCACATTCCCTGGGATCGGGAGAAGGAAAGTCACAAGAACGCTGTGCTCTCCTTGGCAACAGCCTGGGGTGACTGCCCATGTCCCCTAAATCCTCTCCCCAGCGATGAGGAACGCTCCTGGTAACTCTGCACTCTGAGACGACAGAGCAGCGGAAGGGATAGCCCGGGACACCGCTCAGGGGCACCCAGTAGGGGTACTGAACTTGAAGCTGGGACACTCTCCAACCCCCTTAACAAGCCTCGCGGTCCTGCCAAACCTGAGTACGCACTTCCAGCCTGTGAAGCCCTTTCCTTTAATTTTTCTATTCACACATACCCCCACCCGCTCCCGCCACCAGGCACTCCGCTTCCCACGAGGCCCGTCCCCTGGACACTCCCAGGCAGCGCAGCCAACCCTGCTGCCGCCTGTATGGCCGATTTCTCCTTACGGGACCCAAGCTTCCCGGAACAGTCACCCGCACACACCCCAAACCCTCTCGGGAAGCTCAGCCTGAATCTTGTTCCTCAGCTGCGAGCCCGCAAGGCCACCTCACCCACCAGGGCGTCCCGCGCCGCTACTCCCAGCTCTGCGAATCACCAGCTGCGCCTGCGCGCTCCCAATGCCTCCCAGCCTGTAAGAGTCCTGAGCAAGGAGCTGATGGGCTGGGCGGAGGGGGGGGGGGGGGGGGGCGCAGGGCGGGGTTAGGAGGGGGGCTGGGCCAGATTGGGTGGGAAACGGAGGGGCAGGGCCTCCGCTGTCTTGGTGTGGAAGACTAAGGGTTCTAGGCGTCCGGATTGAGGTCTGTTTTATAACACTGGCAGAGAAGCCTTGGTTCCCTCCATACTCACTGTCTAGAAAGCTCGGCTTAGTTGAGCCAAGCTAGCCAGTCCCCCTGGGCACCTGGAGCCACCTTGGATCCTCCCTAGCCTTTCACTCTTTTGCATGCCTATTTCCCCACACCTTATCCACCCCACCCCAGGGCATTCTCCTTATCCTTGGCAGTTCTCAGCCATCCAGAGGTGAGGGGCATGGAGATTTTTCACCCACAGACCGCTTGTGCAGTGCATCCTAGTTAACATGTCTTCGCTGTATGAGACCCCAGCCCACATTTACAACTCAGCCCTTACTCTGAAAACAAATTATATTGCTGCTCTTTCTGGACTTTTGGTGACAGTGATCTGCTTTTTTCTTAAAAAGAGTTTTGAACATGTTTGAATATCTTGGGAAGAAGAACATGGGTTGTCAAATAAGATCTATCTTTGACCCTGTATTTTAGGTAGCCACCTTAGAATTTGAGCCTTCTAAAAGCCCCTCTGAGAAACAGAATACTTGGCCTGTGTCACTGTTTGGACTTTGCCCTAATGGTTACAGGTTTTCTGGCATTTAGCATTTTAGGAAGTCTAACTTGATTATTATTCCATGCTGCATGCATGCTTAGTTTTTAACTTCTATACTTTTATGCTTAGAATCTGGTTAGCTGTGGGATCTCACATGCCTTCAGATCAACTATTAAAAGAAATACACCTGAGTGAATCCAAAGTGAATTGGCCTGTAGGCCTGAAGTGATTTATTCCAAATTATTTTCCCTTCTTCTTTTTACTTTAGTTATGATGAAATTGAGAAACATTTGGCTTATTAAGAATAAAGGAATTGCCATAGGGCCAAACAGTAGTCCTTCCAAGTAAGTGTTTGGCTGTGATGGGAGCATTTTGGGGGGCAGAGCCTGGTAATTGCCCTTAAATATGTGAATATCTTGAAATTCTTCCCATGAAACATTTGTGGTCCTTGCATTTCTGTATTTTATGAACCAGGCTTTCTTTTTTTTTCAAATCCTTACTCAAGGATATTCTCAGTGCTTTGGGGGGCGGGGGGGGGGGAGAGAGAGAGAGAGAGAGAGAGAGAGAGAGAGAGAGAGAGGGAGATTGGCTGCCTCTCACATGAGTCCAGACAGGGGAATCAAATCTGCAACCTACGTATATGCCTTGACCGGGAATTGAACCTGCAACCTTCTGGTATATGGAGACCTTGACATTCCAACCAACTGAGCCACCTTGCCAGGACTGAACCAGACTTCCTTGAGCTCATTTTTATTTCCCATATGTCAAATAAGCATAAGGGATTGCAGTGAGGACAGATTGCAAGAAGGTATGTATATTGGTAAATGTAGACTCAGACTCTGGAGGGTGATGAAGAAATCAATCTATAAGTGTCAGGCATAGGGCCTTGTCCTATTCATTTCTAATAATAAAATGTTTCACATACAGAAAGTGCTATAAAAAAACATTGGGTTAATAGGTCATTTTTGCATTCATTTAAAGAAATTATATATATATATATATATATATATATATATATATATATATATATATATTTGATTTCTGAGAGGGAGAGGGAGAAAGACAGAGACATCAATGAGAGAGAATCATTGATCAACTGCTTCCTGCACACCCCCTACTGGGGATCAAGCCCACAATCCAGGCATGTGTCCTAACTAGGAATCAAACCGTGACATTCTGGTTCATAGGTCAATGCTCAACCATTGAGCTACACCAGACGGGCAACTTTTGCATTCTTAATAGATGTGATTACTGGGTTTATTTTCTTATTTTATGTCTGAGTTTATCGGAATATTTTGTTTGAAGTGACCAAAAGTAAAATGAAGTGCCTTAGGCAAAAAGAGAAAGTTATTGTGTAACCCAAAGTTTCAAAAGGACAAGTCTATGATTGGCCTTAGGAATAAATTGAACTAGTAACTGGAATGCTTCAAATTCCAGGTTAGGCTTTCAACCTGGCTTCTCCCAGTAGGGTCATTCTTTCAGAACCTCTGAATGTCATGTTCTGTAGGCTTAGATCCATGATCTCTGACAAATCGAGGGTTCACACTAAGTTGTTAACTGACAGAAAGTGCCTCTCTTCCTTCAGTTCCATTTCTATACCACCATATAAAGAGCAAGATTGGGTGAGACTGAGTAACAATCATTTTTTTGAGAAAAAGTGCATGTGTGACATAAGAATGATACCACTAGTGGAACCACATAGTTGGAGAAAAATATCGTGAAGAGAAAATTCCTAAATGAAAACAGAGTGTGGGGGAGATGCTTTTTCAAAAGAAAAGTGCTGGAGAGACAAAAAAAAAAAAAAGTTCACTATGGAACACCTCTATTTAAGGAATACAGCATTGAAATTACCTTTTATCTCTCTTGTATTCAAGTATTAACCAGTCTTCTTAATAATGTCTCTATTGTTTTTCTGTGGCTGCTATTAAAAAAAATTGCTACAAACTTAACAGCTTAAAGCAACACAAGTTTATTATAGCTTTAGAGGTCAGAAGTCTAACAAGGGTCATACTGGGCTAAAATCAGTGTCAGCAGAATTGAGTTTCTTTATGGATGCTCTAAGGGAGAATCCTTTTTTAAAAAATCTTTATTGTTCAGAGTAATAGAGATGTACCCCTTTTTCTCCCCATTGCCCCCTTTCACCCGGTTCCCACCCCACCCCAGGCCATAGGTAAAATCTTTGGTTAATATCTTCCTGCCCCTCACCTCCACTTTGTCTCTGAGATTGATCAGACTGTTCCATGCTTCCATGCCTCTGGTTCTATTTTATTCACCAGTTTATTTTTTTCATTACATTTCTTGTTAGTTTATTTTCACTTAGATTCAATTGTTGATAGATATGTATTTGTTGCAATTTTATTGTTCATATTTTTTATCTCCTCCTCCTCCTTCTCCTCTTCCTTCTCCTCCTCCTTCTCCTCCTCCTCTTAAAGAATACCCTTTAGCATTTCATATAATACTGGTTTGGTGATGATGAACTCCCTTAGCTTTTCCTTATCTGTGAAGCTCTTTATCTGACCTTCAATTCTAAATGATAGCTTTGCTGGGTAGAGTAATCTTGGTTGCAAGTCCTTGCTATTCATCATGTTGAATATTTTTTGCCACTCTTTTCTGGCCTGAAAAGTTTCTGTTGAGAAATCAGCTGATAGTAGTATGGGCCCTCCTTTGTAGGTAACTAACTGCTTTTCTCTTGCTGCTCTGAAGATCCTCTCTTTGTCTCTTTAACCCTTGGCATTTTAATTATGATGTGTCTTGGTGTTTGCCTCTTTGGATTTCTCTTTTTGGAACTCTCTGCACTTCCTGGGCTTGTAAGTCTATTTCTTTCACCAGGTAGGGGAAATTTTTGTCATTATTTCTTCAAATAGGTTTTTAATATCTTGATCTCTCTCATCGCTTTCTGGCACCCCCACAATGTACATGTGGGTATGCTTGAAATTGTCCCACAGGGTTCTTAAACTTCCTCCTCCTCCTCCTTCCCCCTCCTCCTCTTCTTCTTCTTCTTCTTCTTCTTCTTATTATTATTATTATTTTCTTCTTCTTGTTTTTGTTCTTCTGCTTGGGTGTTTTGGGCTTCCTCATATTCCAAATCATGGACTTGATTCTCTGAATCCTCTACTCTACTGTTGAATCCCTGTAGATTATTCTTTATTTCAGTTAGTATTCTTAATTTATGACTGGTCCTTTTTCATGTCTTTGACATGCTCATGAAGATCCTTAAGTCTCATGAAGATCCTTGAGTAACATTATAACCATGGTTTGAACTCTGTATCTGGTAGTTTGCTTGGTCCCATTTCTTTCATTTGTGAAATGTTTCTTTATCTCTGCATTTTGTCTGCTGCCCTGTGTTTGTTTTGATGTTTTAGATAGAGCTGCCATATTTCCTGGAATTGGTAGAGTGGTCTTGTGTAGTAGGTGTCCTAAAGGGCCCAGTGGCTCAGCCTCCCCAGTCACCTGAACTGGGTATTGGGCCTTTTATTGATAGGTTTGTGGCACATTGTCAACATCTGCAGCTTGTTTGAGATAGTTTAGAAAAGTCTGAAGCCTGAGCCAGTACAGACCATTCATGTGGAAAAGCTGCTGCAAACAGCTTGGGTGGGGTTGCAAATTGGATGGGGCAGGGTCTCAGGGAATCCTCAGGGTGGAGCAAGCAGTGTGCTCCAGGCTGATGGAGATGCAGATATGGCTGCCAATCAGCCCTGCGACAAAGGTCCCAGCACAGAAACAATGACCCCTTCAAGCACCCCCATCTGGGAGAAAGCGAATCCCAAGTTCCTGCCCTGATGCCAGACAACCCAGTTCCTCCCCATATGTGTCTAGGTCCCCCAAAGCCACCTGGTGCTGGGAGTCTGAGTAAGTTTGTGTGCCAGCCCTTTATTTATTTATTTTTATTTTTTTAAATATATTTTTATTGATTTCAGGGAGGAAGAGAGAGAGAGAGAAACATCAATGATGTGAGAGAATCATTGATTGGCTGCCTCCTGCATGCACCACCCTGGAGATCAAGCCTGCAACCTGGGCATATGCCCTGATGGGGAATTGAACTGTGACCTCCTGGTTCATAGGTTGACACTCAACCACAGAGCCACACAAGCCAGGCTGTGTGCCAGCCATTTAAATGGAACACCTGGGTCTCCAGTAGCCTCTATGTCACTCAGCCATAATCCCTGCTGGATTTTTACAGCCCAGTTGTTGCAGGGACTTCTCTTCCCAGCTCTGGTACCCTGGGCTGAGGTTT